AGGAATGAACGAGGCCCCGCCTCCCACGCTGTATCCAGTTCTTACATCCATGGGTGTGTCTCATTGATTCGTTTTTAATAGCTTTGGACATCAATAAAGGTCTATGGCTGTAACAAGTTCATAGTTTATCAGGCTTTGGCAACACAGACAATTATTTATAAATAGGATAATGTGTTGAACATAGAAAATATAACATCTTTAAAGTCTATTGAGTTTCTAATGATGTGTGTAGAGTTTGGGTGGGTGTGTGTGCATTTGCTAGTGAGGACCTTTGAAGAAAGTACCGGTTCTGAATCTCATCAGTTTGGTGACAAAGTTCTAAGTCACATAAACCATTCAAAGTAAGTCAGTGTGACAAGGCAGGCCCTGCACAGTGGGAAGTGAACTCATCGTAATGCACTCTATCCTCCGTCTCCCCTCACACTGCTCATCTGTGGAACACATTGAAGTCATTTCCAAACATGCACATGTCCTGCATCCAACTTTTCTGATTATATTTGATCTTACTCTTTTTTACAACGCAATAAGCATACAGTAGAATAATTGATGTGGCAGCAAGAAAATCCAAATAAAGAAGTCTACCAGATGCAGTGGTGTAATGAAGAACTCAAGTATTGTACTTAAGTCGATGTTGTGGTAATTGTAACTTAAGTATTTTTTATTTTATACTACTTCATACTTCTCCTCAACTACATTTTGGAAGCTAATAATCTACTTTTTACTCCACTACATTAATTTTTACAGAATGAGTTACTCGTTACTTCACAGGTTCAAATTATTAGCAAAAACAAATAAATTAAGACATAAACTATGCTATAAAGTTATAGTTAACATATCCAGCACTATTTTATAACATTATTAAAAGTTGCTCCACTTGTACCAGATGTGATGAACACATTTGTGCTGAAAAAGTAACAATCCAGTAATTTAATGTATAATGTTCTGAAATGGGACATTACATACTGTCCCATCATATTTTTGTACTTTTAGATTGTGAATGCAGTACTTTTACTTGTAACCGTGTATTTGTACTTCCTCCACCACCGACCAGATGCCCAGTCATTACTTTTAGATTCACTTCTGACAAAATACATTTGATTTGTGAATCCTTTCAGAAAGCCACTGTGCAGCACAGGCAGTCCATGAAGTGAAAGAGGACTTCTTCAGTGCTTTAATGCGACTACAAACTCTGCTAGTCAGAGCTGAGAAGGGCTTCGCTGCTATCATGTTGGGCTTCATTCAACTTTGAAAATAGAATATGCTCTTATGGGAATCCAATGCAAAGAGCACAGGGATGAAGAATTCAAATATCCACAGGCACAGTAGCACAGACAGGCAGGCAAAGATGTCCCTGCTTGGGTTTAACACTACACCACAGACACAGCAGACATTCAATATTAAGCTGTTTAGTATGTATGTGCATCTCAGTTAGACCATTATTATGTTCATATATTAGATGGTCGACACCTGGTACACTGACCCTATGTCAGAATTCACAAATTGATATGCGCTGGAGAAATATCGTATCGTGTGTTTCTAGTGTAGCATACCATTCAGGTATCTTTATGAACAGATAGCCAAAAGCAAGCTTACCCACAAAAGAATGGCATAATAATAATTAAAAAAAGGAAATATCATATAATGAAAAAATGGGTGCATTTTGAGGAAGGTACAGTTTGTGTTGTATATCAATTTAGAGCAGCACTGATGTTTTTGTTGTTTCTCTGCCTGTTTTCTCGTTCACTGTGGATGTCTTTGATGAAATGTCAAGGCTGCGCTGCACAGAAACACTAAGTTGCCGCCGGCTACTTTGTTAATCCTGACTGTAGCTCTGAAGAGAAAAAGAAAACCTGCCTAGAACTATATTTCAAAAAGGACTGGGTGGACAAAGAATATAACATAACATAATGAATTCTCTATGTGTGTACCATACCTTTTTATTTTCTACATGTTTTATTTCATTATACTATATCTTATAGAGTACTTTCAAGCACTCAAGTAAACCTTGAGCAGAGAATATGTGGAGCGATGACCATGGTGCTGAACCTTGGTTGGTCATGAGTCTGAATACTGCACAGCTTTACTCCTTAGATTTACATGTGCCTTTAATAGCTACGTTTTATGAACATTGACATGAAGCATACAGGAATTTAAAGTGGAGGTAATTATAAACCTAATAACAGGAATATGCCCTGAAACCTGTCAAAGCAAAGGAGGTATTCTAGCATACTTTGGAGCAAATGTATTTTATTTCATTTAAACAGGGTTCCTGCAGGTTTCACCAACTCAAATGTAAGACTTTTTAAGACCACTTTGAATAGAATTTAAGACCTATTTCACGGCAAGAAAGTATGAAGGAAATTTGCTATGAAAGAAGAAATACATCCCATAATTACTTACAAAGTAAATGTATTCATGTTCAACATAAGAACGACAACTGAACATAACAGCATAACAGTACACAGAAGTGTGTGTGTGTGTGTGTGTGTGTGTGTGTGTGTGTGTGTGTGGTGTGTGTGTGTGTGTGTGTGTGTGGTGTGTGTGTGTGTGTGTGTGAGAGAGTGAGACAAGAGCTATAGTCAGAGCTCTGCTGTCTTCATGCTGTTGTATGATTGGTGTTTAGCTACGGTATTTAGCGTCCACAGCACCTCTGCTTTTAGGGTTGACGTAGACCCAAACGTCACCCGGAGGTCCCCCGGTGTTGTTAGAACGCTAATTTTGTTTGCAAAAGGTGCAGCGGGCTTCAAACATGTTCCCCTCCACTGGTTTCAACCAAGCACTAAATTCATTGTTTTCTAATCAAATACGGTTGAACTTACAATTCCCCATTATTTATTTGTAAGTAGATCTGAAGATACCTAATTTCTGACTGCCGCTAGCTGAAGCTTGGTTGCTAGGTTACTAACTGGGTGTTCTCCGATAAGGGGCCGGGGGAAACAAAGTTAGTGATTACTGGTTCCATGTTGATTTATTTCAATATACATTGTAGGGGGGAACTGAAAGGCTATGGCCGTACTACTTACTTTGCAGCCCGGACATTTCCCCCCAAAACACATTCAGACGCAATCGCTACACAGAAGTACCTTTCAAATTCGATCATTTTTAAGACCTTCTAATCTAAATCATATTTAAGACCTTTTTAAGGCCTTAAATTCTGATTATCAAATGTAAGACTTTTTAAGACCCTGCGGAACCCTGTTTTAAAGTAGCCCCTTGTTCCATATAGAAAGCAATATCTACACATAAGGCCACAATGGGGAGACTAATAACCTTTTTCGTTCAAATATCAAGCTGTTATTTCCTGGACAGTACAATGTCAGGTTACGTATTTCTGCGGTAAATACAGGAACATTGCTCTAAAATGAAATGCTTCTTTTTGTATGTTGGAAAAAAAAGGATATTCCCTCTTATAAATGTCTTTAACAGTGACTCTGTCAGCAGATATAATACATATGTATATATATTTCAGTAAATATCATTCCCGAAAAGACACTGTTGCTTTTTCTTATCTAACCATTTATGTTCTTTTAAAGTTCGATTGTAGTGTAAATCTCACTGGAAAAATAAAAACATTTATTGGTTTTAGGTACTTACCCGTTATCCTGACTTTTTTTGTTTCTCTCTCTCTTTATTTTTATTTTGTCCATGTCCCTTTAGGGGCTCCGTACAAAGGAACTACCCATGCAAGAAAAATATTAATAATGAGCTGCAATCTCTGACAGACAGCTGACAGAGTGTGACACGTGTTTGCATGGGGGGGGGGTAGGAAACAATGACAACAGGAGCAGCAAACAAGAGAAACTCCAGCAGAAACAACACTGTGATGTAATCATCACAACAACATGAAGTGCATGTTGACTTAACCGTGTTGTACAGGAATGGATATTAAAAATACACAGAGCTCATACATAATCATCCCTTATTATGAAGACTTTACCAGACATTTCCCCTAATAGCATAACACAAACACGTGTATGATCTAATGCAATGCAAAACAATAGCTTGCAATACATATTGCCGTGTTATATTCATTCTACATCAGAGTTTTAGAACAGTAATGTTACTTCACATTGTGTTGCATCATATTCTTCATGTTCTTGTAATTGTGTTCTCCTCATACACTGCATACAGGGGGGGGCTATCAGTTTATAAATTGATTGCCTTAACCATAAAAAACAATGATGTTTCCGTCTCTGTCGTTGTATTCATTTATACACAGCCAGGAGACAATACATTTAAATTAAGCTTGAAGAAATAATTCCACAATATAGTTATAATGCCTGCTGTGAGATAACGATTCTGCTAAGATCTAAAGAAGTCTTTCATTACCAAAACATTATAATGAATTGCCACCAAAGATATTAGCATGTTACAGGTTACTGTTTACTGATTGCCTCAGATACTGTTGTTTAATAATACATCCAACGGGTCATGTGAAGCTCTTCAGCTCCTTGGAGCACAAGTCAAATTCCCTGCCTATTTATTCCCTCGTGTTTGCAGATGTTGGAGACATCCTCCACATATCGCACGCTGTGTGCTAAACATGAGCAGCCTTCGCTCGGCGCTCCTCGGCTACCTATGCGAGGGGAATCCAACAGGGGAATGCCGATGGGTAGAGTGCGCCTGTTTAAAAGCCTTCCAATGGGATGATGCCTCGGGCCCTTCTCTGCCTCTCAGCAACACGGCCCAGTGGACATTCAGTCATTTCTCATTTCAGTAAAACATTCCACATCTCTACCAAGGCCACTGGATAATGTGGAGGAGACGTAGCCCAGGGAAACACACTGATATCACCAGGAGAGGCTGAGGTGAATGTATATGAGGTTAAAACAAAATAGCGGAAGCCACTGACAGAGGATGGAGACAGTGGAAGAGGGTGACACATATAGGTGATGTATACAGACACAGGGGCACAAACTGAGTATCGGACAAACAAATCTACAAGGAACAATCCAAGACAGACGGGTACAGATAGTCTAGCCACGCCGAATTTCTCTTACCATTGGCGCAGCCCTTGAAGCGGGCCCCTCTGACGGGGCCCTTCATCAGGTCAGCCTTGACACGTGCCTTCAGGCCCATGTTCTCCTTCTGCATGGCGCTCAGAGAATCACTCACCGAGTTAACCATCTTCACCATTTGGATATGACTGTCCGACAGCAGCTGGAAAACACATCACAGTTACATGTATTAACAATATAATAACATGTAGTACTAAAGGATGTTTACAGTATACAATGTTTTTTATAACCTTCCAGAGATGGATTTCAATTAATTTAACAAAACAGTAAAACAATGATATCAGACAGAGTGTTAAACTTTCACATTATAAGCAGCAATCCATTTCAACCATATCGACTCAAATCATATTAAACACAATATTTGATGCTATTTATGGAGGGTATTTATTCGACTACAGCCATCCACTCCTGCACTGTTTCTGAATGCTGTTTGAGTCACAGAAAACAGTGAATGCGTACTGGACACATTTGTATCTCATTTTTGCAAGACATACTTTCAGACAAATAAAGAAATGTCATCATGGCTAAATAAATATCCTCATATATGAGTCACTTTTTCAGTTGTTGTTATGATGGAGTTGCTCCTCAGAGTACGTTTGTTGCCCCGAGTCATTTGGAACTGAACTCTGGGATTTGTATTTTTAACAACTTCTTAGCGTTATCTCAAATGAACATAGGCGTTACAAAATCAACCATTACGGGAAGCTTAAGGATTATGACTTAAAGATAAGCAATCCAAATACATTTTATTGCAATTGATTTTGTCAGAGTTACATCACATTTGCATAGCAATGCACCTGCAGGAAGGGAATTATATTTCTCGAGAGCTCAAGGATGAACAACTATCTGACATTTTAGAGCACAGCACCCAAAAACGACATTTAAACAAGGTCACTACAAAACTATCTCACTATGTCCATGTTTGCTTAATGCATGTCTCCTGGATTTGATTCCTTGTTTATAGCTTGTGGATGCAACAATCCTCAGCAGCAACTCACATTTTGAGCAACCTTGAACATACAAGCAAGGATAGTTTTCAGAGTAGATTCCACTGCACATCTATGCGATGGGAGAAATGACTTTGGGGGAAAAAGCTGTGTTTATCGAAAATGAAAACCAAGGGCTGCCTCAAAGGAAGTAAGTTTATCTAAAAAGTTTTGGTTTTCTATCAGAATGGTACAACTTTATAATTCAGGCTGCAACATTTGGTGAAAAACAAGTAATTGTTATATTTTTGACTGATATTGTAATTGCGATATGATTGCGATATAAGAGGGAATGATGACATTTGATCTATATTAAAGAGGACATATTACCCTCATTTTCAGGTCATGTATTTTTTGCCTCTCCTGTGACATGTCTCCATGCTTTAATGTTCAAAAAGCTCTTTATTTTTCTCATACTGCCTGTGCTGCAGCACTTATGTTCCCCTTCTGTCTGAAACCAGAGCCCAGTCAGCTCTGATTGGTTAGCTGGCCGCCTCTGTTGTGATTGGTCATCCACTTAGAGATGTTACGGAAGTAAACAAAGGAGAACAAAAGGATTGTAGCGTTTGCAGACCATTTACAGGCAGAAAACCCTATAGAACACACTACAGGGAAGGGAACACCCCAGAAAGCATAAAAGAGCCCCTTTAATGGCGCGTTTCCAATGCAGCGGGGTAGCCCCGTTTAAGCGTCCCTACGCGTCCTCACTCTGGCCTCGGGCTGCCTCGCTGGCCGTCCGAGGCCGTGGCGCATTTCCATTACAGTTTAGGACCTGGGGTAGCAACGCAGTGTAGGCGGGGCGATCGGCTTTGTTTTTGTTCACATTTCGAGTTGTTCCGTCGAGCTCCCGCTGGATTTGATCATCCCCAATGAGATGTAGGAACGTCGTCACCTCCTCGGTCGACCACGGTGTGCTTTTCTTAGAAGTAGCCATTTTTGTAGCTCATCCGTTTACAAAATGCTGTTTATAAAAATGCTGCAAGCTTGCTTCTAGATATATATGCGACGCTAGGGATGAACTCGTGCGCGATCTTGTGACGATTCTCTCTGACCAATCATCAGTCGAGAGTGTTGACGTCACTAGTTCAGCCCTGGCCCTGGTCTGAGGGAACCACGATTTTATGAGGCCGGAAAAAGAGGGAAAAAGTACCCGCTAGCCGGTACTAGGCTATATGGAAACGCCACCAAAAACCGGCATGGCCGCTTGAGGACGGTTAAGGATGCTTAAACGGGGCTACCCGCTGCAGTGGAAACGCGCCATTAGATGATCCTGATTTGCTCTTTTTGGAGGATCTGTACCAAAAAAAACAAGTCTCCAGAATTCCATTTGCAAGCGAGTACTTCTTTGCAGAACCACAATACTTAATTCAGATATTTTCATATATTTCCGTTAACCAAACTCTTTATTTACCTAGCTCAGGGTCTATCAGGGATCACCAACTACATTTGTCCAAGGGCCAAAATGTATCCAATAGACACTATCGCAGGCCAGCGATTTTTATATAGCCCAACATTTTGAAGTTGTTGACTGGACACACACACACACACACACACACACACACACACACACACACACACACACACACACACACACACACACACACACACACACACACACACACACACACACACACACACACACACACACACACACACACACACACACATAAAGCTTAGCAGACTCTTCACGCTAACGAAGGATCACTTCTAGGCAGGGTTACTTTGTAAATGTAATCAGTTACTGAATACAGAATACATGCTCTGAAAGTAATCAGAATACAGTTACAGTTACATGTCTTAAAAAACGTATTCAGATTACTTTTAGAATACTTTCTTTTTCCATAACAGATGGGTATGTTTTGGTGAACAGGAGACACTTGTTTTATTGTTTTAATGGCTTATCAAGAACTCAAACACAACATCTTGGTGTCATTCTGGACAGCTCCCTCTCATCTGCACCCCACATAAAAAACATCACCCGGACTGCATTCTTTTGTACTTGGAATATGTTATTAATTGCAAGGTGTCCTTGGGTGCTTTGAAAGACGCCCCTAAATAGAATGAATTATCATTATTATTTATTATCTGAAATGATGTAATAACTTGTTCCAGTCACTTGCCATGCATTCAGCAGCAGCAGGCCATTCACTTTGATTTGATCCCGTTATGAAATGTCATCATTTCGACAATAAAGAAATGCTACATAAACGTTATCTTGCACATTTTATCTAACCATCTCCGTTTCTAACTTTCAATATATTTTAAAAGAGATCTCTCTCTCTCATCTGCGTGCGGGGGCGGGGCCTCACAGACACGCTGCATCTCTCTCGCTCACAGACATGCTGCAGCGCTGTGCAGTGTGCACACCAGTGGCGGCGCTAGGGGGTGGCTACTTGGACTCAAGCCTCGGATGTTTTCTGAAAAGCCCCGGATGTTTCACTTAAAAAAAAAATGAAAAATTTTTTTTTTTTTTGAAAATGTATTGGGAATAATGTGCAGTACCGGAGTCCACCAGAGAGGCAGCCGCTGCGGGACATTAGCCTGCGTACTGCGTAGCCTTCCCTGCCCTGAAGAAGAAGTGATCCTTCCTATTGCCTGACGAGTTTTAAGCTAATAGCCTATAAAGTTATGGATATTAGAAAGTTATTTTCATCGAAGCAGGCGCCACAAGCTGCAGCAGCAGCAGCAGTATCAGCAGCTGACAACAATGTCATCACCAGCAGTGTCCCGCAGCTCCTGCCTCTCTGTTGGATTCTGTCGCAGCGGGGCTACTGCTGTGGTGCGGAGCGCACAAAACACAACTCTTCACAACGAAGGATCACTTCTTCTTCAAGGCAGGGAAGGTTTCGCAGTACGCAGTCTACTGTCCCGCAGCTGCTGCCTCTCTGTTGGACTCCGATACTGCACACAGTGGTTACTGCTCCGCCAGCGCCACAGTCACCCCCGTCGTGCGGGCCGGATGAGAATGTCTGGCGGGCCGGATGTGGCCCGCGGGCCGCCAGTTGGTGGTCACTGGTCTAGATCATGTGGTATATAACCACTGGTACAGGAAAGTCCTTTAAGGACCTTCAGAAACAACAAGAGCGCCATATGTAGCAAAGAGACCACATGGTACCGTATCCCATAATAAACCCTGGTGAATGCTGGAAGCCTCCACTGGGAGCCCTGGTGATGAAAGTATGTGTTTGAACTAGCAGAGAGCAGGGTAACCTCTCTCATCCGCTGTGGTCACTCTCCTACCTGGAGCCCTCTATCTGTGGCTGTTCAATGCCGAGAGGTCATTGTCACATATTGCCCCTTCAGTGCCAACATCTGATGTGTATACCAACTTCACTTTTTAAAAAAGGTATACAGAATAACCTTAACCCTTCCTTAACTTACACATACTCACGATTTATCCATTTCATTTTGTGATGCCCCTGTGGGTTCATCTGGAGAGGGTGTGGCTGTGCTGCATCCAGCCTCCTTGATTGCCTTGATTGCAGTAACTCAGGGCACCTGGGTCTGGTGCCCTGCAGTTATTTAAAGCCTCTGCTACTCTCTGTCTTCCCTCTGCAGGCACCCTGGTTTTGTTGAGTATGCTATGAGTTTCTTCAGTTGCTTCACTTTGTGCACTTCAACACTCTCACACACATACATGTCAATACAATCCTCACCCTGCATTTACACTACTGATACCACTGACATCCACACCTCATGCTTTACTTGTTTTGCACTTAATTAATTTGGCTGATTTTAATGTTTTGCTTAAATAAACATATTTTGTTAAACGTGGATATGGTGTGTCTCCTCTTTGTTGTGGCGTTTTGAGCCAGGTCATAACCATTTTCTTTTAAAATGTCCTCCACTCTCTCTTCTACACTAAGAAGTGCAGAGCTGAAAGTCATATACTGTATTCAGGTTGCAGGGACTTCTATTCAAGGCGTGTCTGTGCAGCTATATTCAGGTGTTCAAACTGAGTTAGACAGAACGCCCGGTGGCCTTTCCCTGGCTGCAATAACTATGCAACACACCTCTGAGGCACAGCAAGCTGCACTGCAATCATATTACATGGGCACTGGGGCTTTACCAACAAACAAAGTCATAAATAACACTTACATATTAAAGCAAAGAAAACCACACACACACAACTGAAACACGCTTGCATACACAACGT